TTCTTGTAGTATGTCCATATAAATAAATTTCTGCGAGTTTGTTAGATACATCATTAAACGATGGCTAAAATTCAAAGTTCAAGTGAAATAGGACTAAAATTATTTTGGTTGTGTTTCGGCGAGAGAGAAACGGTCGGAAATTTTGAGAAGTCATGGGTAGGGAGTCGTTGTAGAGAGAGAAGCGAGTTGGAAGAAGTCTGGATATGATTGCAATTAAGTTAGGCCCTCAACGAACCTTACTTTTAATTTTATATCTTGCGTTTTGAGAAATAACCAAGTGTAAAAAAATCTAATAAAGATTCAGGAGGTATCATGTTATAAATTACAACGTTATTGATCAACAAATTTTCCTAATTTAAAAGAAGAGCATTACGGCAAGAATAGGGGTCCTGGTTGTTTTGGCGAGCTCGAACTCGAGCTCGTGCTCTTCGAGTTTTATATTTTGAGTTCGAGCTCGTGCTCTTCGAGTTTTATATTTTGAGTTCGAGCTCGAACTCGAGCTCGTGCTCTTCGAGTTTTATATTTTGAGTTCGAGCTCGAGCATGGGCCCAGTTTATGTATTTTGTTTATTAATATTATTAGACTACTATAAATTTTAATATAAAATTCGAAAAAGAAAAATGAATTGTAATTTATTTTGTTAATTACTTATATGAATTTATTATAAAATTTTATATTAATTATATTCAAATAAAAGAAAAAAAACTCGCGTGCCGATTTTCGAGCTCGCGAACAACTATAAATAAGCTCATTGACCAACAATCATTAGGAGAGTTGGTACATAGCATCAGCTATTAGAGTAGAGATATAGGGTTCTAATCTTGTCCCTCCCCTACTTCCCCAATTAGTGACATGATTTGAAATTTTTGAAGTATAGCATATTTAATAATTACCCCTTAGAGTATCAATTGAAACACTTGCGCCTCAAACATCAATTATTTTGTGTATTAAATTTCAAAACATACAATACTTGTTTTTTTAAATATAATAATACTCTTAATATATGTCCACTTTTATTGGATGGAATAGTTCAAAATAATTCAATTAATTTATCAAAAAATAAATTGAAAAATCAATGCAAAGTTTAAAAAAAATATTTTTCTTTGTTAGAATAAATAGAGTAAACTGTAAAAAGTACACATGTGTAATCTTCAAATAGCAAAAGAACCCTTGTGATAAATTAACTAGCTAAAACCCCACTGTAAAATTTAATCAAAGGCAGAAACCCCCATGGTTGAGGTCTTGTGGCTCACTCGTTGGATGTGCGGTTGGTAGCTGGTAGCTGACTTTTGGACGTGAAATGAAAAAAATTGTCCCTCAAAATTTATTTATATGTATATATATTTTTCATTTTAATTTGATTGTTTAGAAATTAAAATATTATTAAAAAATTAATAAACAATTAAATTGAAAAATTATTCAAAATTTAGTAATCAAATTAAGTATAAGTTTTTTTTTAAATACAAAATAAAGAAATACATAATAATGGAATTTATTCTATCGATGTAGGGATAATTTAAAATATATACATAAATTATCTGATAATAAAAATAGAAATAAAAGACCCTATTCGACTTTTCTAACTAAGATATAACAAAATAAAATAATTAAAAAAAGAAAGGAAAAAAAAGTGTATTTTATGATGTAAAGTGTAATTAACCCCAAACAAAAAAGAAAACTACCAATCAGCTCATTTACACCCTTAAGAATATGTATAGACACATATAGGTTAAACTCCTACATACAATATTACACGCGGGGCGGACCCAAGGTATGTCTTGGGAGGGCGCCCCTTGCAGGAACTTTTTTTTTTTACCTATTTTTTATTATTTTTTTAATATTTTGTGTTATTTATCTATTAATTTATATACTTTAGTCCGTTGTGAAAATCCGTGGTGTTTAACTCTCAGCTAGTAGATCATGTTAATTAATCACGAAAATTTTAGATTGGCTCGGTTTGCGTTATATTATTTAAAGTTTTGATGAGTGCATGCATGATTTGGACTTTATCGTTATTTTCTGACATGGATTGTTGCTCGTTTCTTAGTCTTTTTTATTCCTTTTATGTGTTTTTGGTGGTGTTAGTGTTTTTAAAGGTAAACATATATAAAAGAATGAATAATGGGTGAAAAGTACAAGTTCCGGAGGCAAGATAAACATTTGGAGAATAAAATTAAAATAACGGTTTTGGTAGTGTTTACAATATTGGTCCTAACTCACTCATATAAACTCCAAATGATCTTATTCTAAAGGCAATGGAAAGCTATCTGGCAGGAGTAAAACTATTATTTCAAGACTATTTAATATCTAAGAATCGAGCAATTGTGCAGTGTTTGTGTCTAACTAATCGGTCTTAGATTCGTTGAAACATAGATTTTTCATTACCTTAATGTATTATGGTTTTTTGTATTCGACAAACATATTCTATTGATTTCCTAAGAAACATGAGTATCTATTTTGTATTTAATTACAATTTCATTGAAATTCTATGAGGAAATTGTCGGAATAAATTTCAATATTTATGCAAGTTCGATGAAATATTTATTTCTTCTAACATTGATTTTAATTTATACATGAATTTGATCAGTTTACGAACAATTGTGTTGAAGCGGTTGACGATTGCTCTGATTATAATTAGAACTACGGATAGAAGAAAATTCGAGTCAAATTCATCGGATTAGATGATATTAGCATCAATATAGGATAAACATATACCTATATTCGTTGTAAACCCTCATATATCCCAAATCGGGAAATGTGGGATTTTGTGTGAGCTTATAAGGAGGCCTTCTACTACTACTGGATACCAGTACATTCCACGAACTTTTGGGGATTAGCTTGTAATAGGCATGTTGTGGACCCGATACCGAGTGGGCCAATGGATTACAATTTATTGTGACGGCTGATTTAATTAATTACTTAACGCCCCAAACTAGTATATAATTTACCGGCTTGCATATATAGGGGAACATGAGATCATACTTCATTGTGACAGCTGGTTTTGATTAACTTAGATACAAGCAAACTAAACTCATTTAATTATTTGCTTGGATGAACGTAAGTTGTGACAATTTCGACACTTGGAAGTAGAGAATAAAATTTTCTTTGTGTGGATACGATATCCCAACTTTAGCTTAGGAGACTACTATTACTATATAGCGATGCGTGCGCCTGCATGTGCATTTTCCAACAATAGTTATTATATATTTGATAAGTCTTTGAAACTATTTTATATAGGGGTAATGGCAAATAGGCCCATGACAAGGGCACTTAATTAAAAGAGGGACATCCAATTTTTTTGTTTTTCAAATAAGGGATTATTAGTGAGAACCCCCCAATACATTAACGTATATTAGGGTGGATCCACCTCCTTTTACTTTAGGGGAAATGAGGGATAACCCCCTAGTTTTTAAAATATATATGCATAGGTCCTATTGATTTTTCTTTCCTAGTCAAAAACTCAAATTCTAATCTTAATTAGTGAGACCCCCCTGAGCAACTTGAAATACCTAATTTACCCTTTTAATTTTTCAAACCCTAGTTTCTCTCTCACTCATCAGCCATTACATCTCTCCCCCCTCTCTCTAACTCTCTCTCTATCCACCAGTCATACGAGCACCTCTGCTCCTCTCCCAACTTGCGCCGCCCACAGTCGTTGCTCCTTCCACCGCCGCCGCCGACGTTGCTTCTTTCGTCGTCGCCTACCGCTACTTCTGCCTCCGCCGTCGCCCGCCGCTACTGCTCCCCTGCTGCCGCTGCTCCCGACACCGAGAACGGAGCCGCTGCTCCCTCCACCGCCGCCCGCAGCCGCTGGTTTCTCGCCGCCAATATATATAGATCTGGTATATATATATATATATATATATATATATATATATATATATATATATATATATATATATATATATATATATATATATATATATATATATATATATATATATATATATATATATATATATATATATATATATATATATATATATATATATATATATATATATATATATATATATATATATATATTCATACAGATCTGTATATATATATATTCATACAGATTATATACATATTATATATATTTATACAATTCGTACAGATCAGGTTATATATATATATATATATATATATATATATATATATGTTTGTGTGTGTGTGTGTGTGTTTGGGTTTATTTAAGTGACTGCTAAAGCTGATTATATTTGGATATTATTATTATTTTTTTTTTGAGTAATATTTGGATATTATTATTGTTCTTATCTTCTAATCCAGATAGAAAACAATGGAGCTAATTCAGTATCGGAAATTTTGCTACCATTCCCAGAACATCAAGCAAATAACTTTGCTTTCCTTTCAGCCAAAATCAGTGAAGGAAATATATACAAATTTGTTGTTGTTGCACGGGATCCGTAATTCGACGACGATTTGTATTTCCGGAGAAGAATAGGATATGTATTCCGGCCGCAATCGATGAACATAATCAATATTTCAATGTATTCCGCCGCACGAGTCTCTAATCCGTATGAGGTAATTTGTTGTAAATTTTTATTGTTTCATGGATTGATGTTGGACACTTGTATTAAGTTCGAACTATGTGAAAAAATTAGAACGGATGATTTACGCAATTGTTTAGGTATCTTTTTTGTGTAATAAAATGAGTTGCTTGATGAATTGTTTTCCTTGAATTGGGTGGCGGAGTAGAATGTGGTGGGAGGTTTTTTTTTTTTTGGTTTGTATATATTTACTGCATTTATTAAGATGAAAATTACCTAGTCATATATAGTCACATGTAGTAACAAGAAGTAACATAACTACATGTGACTATACTTGACTATATAGTCACATGTAGTCATATATAGTCACATGTTGTAACAAGAAGGAACATAACTACATGTGACTATATATTGTTTAGAAGTGCTTCGATTAATTTTATGATGCATAAATTATTAGGTATTGCAGCGTTCATTTAATTTTACTCGTGAATTAGAATCCAAGGAAAGTGATGGTATAAGTAGCTCAGACAATGATGATGATTTAAGCCATGTGATTAAGTTTAAGATTTCGGACTTCAATGTTCATGATCGTGTTAGCATTGGCCTTGGGGATAGGGTAAGTAGCAGTTTATTGGCTTCTCTTGCTATTTATGTTGTAAGATTGAGTTCATAAAGTTTCATGTTGCTATGATCTGACTGTGTTCATTGTGTTTTTGTTGAGTTGTAATGCAGGGTGATGAAATTGTATATGAAGCTACAGTGAATGAAGCTAGTAGGTTTGTTTTGATTTACGGCATTCGTTTCAGGATTTTATCAACCGAAGTATCATGAAGAGAAATATAAATTCTAATAATGCTCTCTTTCTAGTAATGCAGTCCAATGTTCAATAAGAAAGTTGTGCTTCGGCGACTGGTTAGCAATCAGGTGCAGCGTAGGGGAAGAAGGGCAATAGAGGTATGCTAAGTTGACACATTAGTAAGTTACATTTTGAAAATGATGATATATTGTCCGACTTTGATGTCTTCTTGGTGAAATTACATTTAGGTATTGAAAAGACTGGCTCACCATAGAGTAATGTACCATTCTTACTCGGTTCAAGTTCATGGCTATATATGTTCATCCACAAATGATAACAGTGGTTAATTTACTCTAGTACATGGTGTAAGTTTCTCTTTCTCAAAAAGTCAATCTAGAGGGGTGCTCCCGTTTTCATTTATTATGTTAGTTAATGTGCTAATGATTTCATATTTCCAAGATGATTGAGGGTCTGAATTATTTTTATGTTCAGTATCATGGCAATTCTTCTTTGAGACATTGGCTTCAACAAGCAGATTGGCTACCAACTCTAGAAGCTACTCTCGTGTTGGATGAGGAGTCTGTCAGGCGAGTCGGTGATGATACAGTGGGAGGACCTGCAGTTTCTCGACAATTACGTCTTATTCGAAACTTGGCTGTACTTGTTTCAGTGTAGGAGAGATTTGCGTTATCAAGTCATATATAGTCACACGTGGTCATATACATATAGTCATATATAGTCACGTGTAGTCATATACATGTAGTCATACATAGTCACGTGTAGTCATATACATGTAGTCATATATAGTCACGTGTAGTCATATACATGTAGTCATATATAGTCACGTGTAGTCATATACATATAGTCATATATAGTCATGTGTAGTCATATACATGTAGTCATATATAGTCACGTGTAGTAACTCGTAGTAATATATTGTTATCTATAAGCTATATAAGTTATGTGTTTTTTCTGATGTATAGTGATGTTGATGATTGTGTTTTTCCAATTTTTTGTTGGGTATTAATTGATTTATAATATCAAGATTAAATTGTGAATTTTTGTTTTTTGTGAGATGAAGTTTTTTTTATATAATCATATGTAATATATATACAATAGTCATGTGTAGTCAATTTCAATACAGTAAATTTATCAAAAAAATTGAAACAAAATTAAAAATTAAAAATTAAAAAAATTAAAAATTTTAAAAAATTAAAAATTACAAAAAATTAAACAATTTTAAAAAATTAAAAAAATTAAAAAAATTAAAAAAATTAAAAAAATGAAAAATACAACAGAGGTATATATAAAAAATAATAATAAAATAAACATTTATAATTTTTTATTAAAAAAATCTGATAATATGATAAATGCAGGTCTAAATGTTAATTGCAGTTGACCATAATGCTGAATGCAGTTAGTAAAAATACTGAATGCAGTTGGGCAAAAATTAGTTATAAGGGCACAATAGTACTTTTGCCTATCCAGGGGGTTATCTCAAAGAAAGAATTTTAGGGGTGGACCTATCCCTATATATTTTCCATATTAAGGGTGTATATCAAATGGACCCATAATAATAATGTTGATGACGATGATGATTGTAATAATAATAAAATATTTAAATAAAAGTCGCGAAATAATCTCCAATTAGTACAATAAGAATATTTATGTGAATTTATTGTATTTATTTGACTGTTAACGGATAAGTTAGTTAAATAAAAAAACATTAGGGGTTTCGTACCGTATTGTACGAATCTTGAGCTTCCATTTTGTGCTACAATAATGGAGCTACTATTTTGTGTTCTTCATCGAAACTAAAGAACTAATGAAATCCCCCAATTTCGTTCTCCGTGTTCTATACTGATAAACACATATTTCATGTATTTTTACACGAAGTTGTTCACTGCATTTTGTGGGCTTTTTATTTTGGAAAAATTATAAATGAAATAAATCTGCAAGTCAGTAAAAAACGTTCTATGAATAGTATTTCAGAATGGATAAATTATCCACAGAACAATAAACCATGAACGACAATATAGGTAAGATAAACATTTGTCTTTCAAATAATACAATTTCCAACCATTCGATTTAAGCTACAAACATGAGTAACCGGGTATTATACAACCCAACATTTAAAAAGGAAAAAAAAAACTATTTAAAAAAAAAGACTATTTCTTATAATAACTAAAAAGAACAAGAAATGGAAAAAAAAAAAAAAAAATTGCATTTTCGTTGGAATGTCGTTGTTGCGAAAGCTGTGATTGCATTCGGAACCGGTCTTGCTGCCCGCCCGCCCCCCTACACATACCAAAATTCCGAAGATTAGATGCTTTTTGGTTGAGATGTATTTGGGACAATATTCCCAAAATAAAGAAAATTAAGAGAAATGACAGAAAAATTGTACTATTTTTAACAAGGAAAAAAAAAAGAATATTTTAGCTTAAATATTTTGAATAAAATGTTGAACCTAAATTTCTAGAATATTCGTTCAAAATAGAAGAGAGAGAGAGAGAGAGGGGGTCCCACCGCAGTACAACCACCCAACGACTGTTATTAATGATAGAAGAATAAAGTCAAAAAATACTCAAACGCTACGTCACTGAATAAAGTCAACTACTTATTTTTCCTCTCCACCATCATTGAATAGATTTGACGTCTAATAAGAGCAAGAGCAAATTCGAAAGAAAAAAAACCGGCTTGGTCACACTGATACATCTTCCACTTCAGTTTAAAATTCAATTGTAATTTAATATTATATTAACATATTTTTATTTTTTTTTACTGTTAAAAGAATTTTTTTTTTTAAAACAGAATACAAAACCCATGTTGCAGTAGTTGAATATATATTGTGTTAATTTCATGTAAGAAATCCATGTTTTCCAGTCTCAAAGCATGTAAAAAGTAAAAGGTGAAACCGCGAGTCGAGCGTGTGTTGTTAACCACAGATGACGGCAAGTTCTAATATCGAGCGTTGAATTGTAAGCGAAACTCGAACATGACCCGAATTGTATGATCATTCTCTCTCCGGAATCGAATTATGATCAAAGAATCCTAATCTCTAGCTTGAAGCTCTTGTGCTTTATAATTAATGTATAAAATAAAATTATAGTTAGATTAAACCTGTTGGAAGTTTCATCTAAAAGACAGCGAAATATTTGGATAGTTTGTTATTTTATATACAAATCTTTTATTTTACGATCCGAAAAAACGCAGATAATTTAAACAAATATTCTGCCTGTCATAATTTATCGTCGCACATCGTTTTCATGTGGAGGGGAGAAGGTTTTTGAGTAGCAGGTTGTTTTGTAATTTCACAGACTAAAACTACAAGAAAATAAAAACAAAATAAATATGAAGCTTGTTTAAATAGAAGAAATCCATTTATTGAATTACCTGTTTGCATTATTTTTACCTATTTCCAGTTTTTCGATGAACTGTGACCTGGACCAACGGCCAGGTCAAAGGTCAACCAATCCGACCTTCCCGGTCCGATTTGAATAGAGCCATACGTACACGGATGCAATTAGAATTACCGTGCTTATATTACGGAATACGACAAAAGCTTATCTTCTTATTTTTAAAAGAAGAGCAACTTTGCTCTTCTTCACTCGTGATCGATCCAGTTTCATGCCCACTATTGAACGAAGCTTTTACCTAAAATCCAACTAGCCTCCATATGAGGAGAACCCTATTGTAACTTTGGAAAACTACGTTTTTTTTCGTAATGTTAAACTTGTCGAATACTTTAGGCGAATTGATGGAATTTGTCAACAAAATCTCAAATTGATTAATACGAGTGTATTTGTTCGATTTTTTTTTTCCGGGATCGTGTTTTGTTGGGAAGTATTTAAGTAGAAAACAAAGACAAAAAACTTATCAGACTTGGGAATATACATGTTCACAAGTTTAAGTTACAACGAAGAGGGTGATAACTCGTAAAAGCTCATCTACCACTACTAGTTATACTTTTAGCTAACTAGCAAAGATAAAATTTGCACAACTTAAATAAACATTTTCAGAAATATAACTATCAAACGGAGATATCGTAGATCATATAAAATAAACAGATATGTTCAAAGAAACCTAATATACACATAAACAAAAGAATAAGAACACAGAAAATCAAATTGCAAATCGGAAAATTAAAACTACGACAGATTGATTCAATCTCTAACTCAATGATCTAACATAGCTCCAAAACATTCACCGTAATACTCACAAACACTCAACTTGTGACATTCTTATGATCATATTACCAAAATACCCCCCACTAATAATGATTGCTTTGAATCGCTAGTAGTCGATATAGCAATCGACATTCTTCCTATGTATTATTACATTCCTAGCGCCTAAACGTCCTCCCAGCATTAGCAGTCTGATACTTGAGATGGCCACTGTGAAATGGAATAAAATGCATGCACGACAGCTATACAAACATCATCGATAAATGATCCACCCAAGAAAATTAAAATATATATATATTTGAAAGTGAAACAAGAAGACCCGTAATTTAAAAATCGCATAAAAAAATTCAGAAATCATTATTTTAATTTGTTTACGAAGATATGAAAATCCTTCCTGCAGCAAGTAGAAACAAATTGCAACAGGCCTAGACAATTCCGGTAAATATTTTTCTTTCTCGAAAATAAAGATGCAGTCAAGTACAAGAAGTGGCATTACATACAACATTTACAAACTCGATGTATAAATCAATACTTCATCGATTTCCTGAATATTATATAATTATGAAAGCGACATTCAATTTTTTTTCTTTCACTCTAGAATTTTGCACGAAGAATATCCAATGAACAAAGAGATACCACCACAAGTGGCTCATTCAATACCAGACAATAATGCAAGAAGCAAGAACGGTAAAAAACGAGTATATGACCAAAATTACGTCATTCTTCAATGATACAGCCTTAAGATTGAAGAATCAAACAACTGAACGAAGTGTTATGAGGCCAAGAACTCGGCAGTCTCAAGTATCAATGCTGCTACTAAAGATTGCTGGGAGAACCGTAACCTTTGAATTATTAGAAATTCTTCGACATCCCAAAAGACTTCCGAAATCTTCGGAGGGCACAAATGAATCGGGCACTTGCTCAATCCTAAAAACTATGCCTATGAGCAAACTACTAACCTTATAGAATTTTAGTGTCCTACAGAAACTAATTTCCCAAAGCCTTTTTCCACCGTATAAACTATTTAATATTTTTAGGTAATAAGACGCAAACGAATCGGAAAACAATTAAAGTTTTTATTCACATGAGCATGGAAGCAATAATTAAGAATAAAAAGCAAATAGCAGCACTTCAGCCGAAGAAAAAGGCATCAACCAAGAGTTTGTAGTGAGTTACCTGACTGAGCTTTCTGTACTCAATGACTCCCCGCACCCTGACCAGATTGATTACCCGATGGCTGGTGTATTTGAGACAGGAGATTGGCCGCAAACAACAGCGTTGTCTTATATCGTTCGTTTTTATCGGCTTCCGTTTCATCAATTTCCTGTTGGACCGACCCAAATGGAGCAGTCTGAGGGAGCTGGCTTTGATCCACTTCAGAAGGCAGCGGCATAATATATGGCTGTGGCTGAGAAACTCCATTAGCATGACTTTGACTGGATAACGGAATATAGGGCTGTTGATGTACGGCAGACGGATTATAGAACTTATGAACATCTGTTTCGTTATCGATCCCTTGACCCCTAAAATAATCCGGATAGCCCCCTCCTTGTTGATAGTGCTGGTTCATTTCTTGTGGCGCCATTGAAACCGGTCCGCTTTGGAAAGGAATTACAGGCGGCATTGGTTTAGAAGAATTGGCGGCGGCGGCGGCGGCGGCGCCTTGAGGTGCGTATTTCATTGTGTGGTCGTGCATTGGGTGGTGGTACGAATTCAATGTTTGATGATAAGGGCTATTCGTCGTCTTTGGAATTATAGGAGCAGCCTGAGATTCTTGCAGATGTTGCAAATGGGAGTTGATTTGGCTGCCGAGTTGTTGGAGATGTTCATTCTTCCAATGGGATGCGTTTGTGTCATGACCAGTATTAACATTTGACGGCGCACCGCCTAGGATAGAGGGATTATGCGGTAACGACGCAGTTTGTGAACCGGAGGAGCCGTTGTTAGAAGGTAGAAATGAAGTTAGGGTAGCAATAAGTTCAGGTGTCAAAGAAAAACCAGTCTGGGGAGCGGCTGTAGTCGGTGGAACTGGCTGTGCAGGGTAAGAGCTAGATACAGGGAGAGGAATTTTCGGAGGCAATTTCAAATCCTCGGACGAAACCCTAGAATTATCATAAGGAAAAACCCTTTCCTCTTTGGGGAAAGAACTATATCCCGAATGCAAAGTTGTCATTTTGGGTGGATCTGCATAGTTGGGATGAACGGGTACGGGCCGTGGATTAATGGGTCTAGGAACTACTTGAGGAAACTTGAGAACAACTCCATAAAGACGTTCTGGACCAGAAACCTTAAGAACTTTAGTCAGAAAATCAGACGGAGGTACCAAAAACAATGTGGTCCCGTCATCGAACTTTGCAACTCCAGCCCTGTCTTTTGAACCTAGGTATCTCAGAAACTCTGTATATGATGCAAAATCCTCCTCGCTATCGGGCAAGAAGAATACTATACTGAACCCAATAGCATCATCATAGTGTTTGCTAAGCAAGTCCAATCCAGTTCGTGCGGAGCAGTTAACCACGTCAGGACTGCAACAAAGAACATTAGAAAATAGATTCGTCAGTTAATATTAAGAAAATCAAGAAGCATGCATCTCCAAACAACGCTTAGGACTATATGAACTAAAACTTTAGCAGCGAGATGTTATAAAACTGCTAACTTACATTTCAACATCGAGCCCATCTCCTACGGGAACACATCGAGCACGACAAACAGGCGTTCCACCCTTTGCAATTAGACCCCTCCATATGCAATCACTTTCAACATGGCGCTGCCCAAGTCCGCCACTTGAGCCCCTAGTTAGGGAGCGCGGTCCGTATTGTTCATCCAGTCCTTGGTTTTCTGTTCTTTGAGGAAGCAAAGCAGCATCGAACCTTGACCTTTTAGATTCTCTCTGAAGATGGTTACCGTCAAAAACATCCCAACTCGAAGCGGATCTGTTTGGTACACCAGAACTTGGTGAAAGAGAAGAGTCTGCTCCAGGTGTGGGAGATGACCTTCTCCAAGTGGGCCCTCCCATCAGAGATTGGTGACCTGGCTTATGCATGTCAATTAATTCTGCGCCGTGAAGTGCAGGTTCGAAGGAACTATGTGGGCCAATGGGTGGCCTCGTATACAGATCAGGTTCACGAATTCCAAAAGATGGTGGGCGTACAGGATTATTGCCCAGTAACCCAGGGAGGTTAAGACCAAGAACATCCATCGGAGCAGCAGCTGGAAATGGAAACTCATTGGTCCAATAATCAATCGAAATTCGAGGATCGTTGAACAGCTTGCCTTGAAGTCCCTCTTTGGCACGACGAGCTTCTTCAACACTTCTGAATTCCACAAAAGCGTAGCTCTTGCCGCTGAATGTCTTTATCCTTTCGATTTCCCCAAATAAAATCATGGCGTTATGGAGCATGTCTTCTTCGATGATAACCGAAGGAGGATGCCTTATCCACAACACTTTACTTAGCGGTGCATCTCCATATTGTGGCCCTACTGGAGGGAATTGCTGTGGCAAACAACCAAAATAGAGATGGTGAAGAAAAAATAAAGATAATCAAAGAACGATAAAAAATCACAAATAAAATTAATTAACGTGGGAAACAGACTATAGGAACTAGCTGCTCTCACGTAGCAAATTGCTGCCCGGAAAAGATATTCTAGAGGCACTGCCTTCGAATTACTCAACTTTTCAACGATACTCAGATACCAACTGTGAATTAAATTCAGATACTAAAGTGATGCTTATCAAAATTGGTGCTTACACTTTTTCTTTTGGGGCCAAGAATACTAGGTTCGGAATAACTGTTCAAGGAATCTTGTCCCATCCAGCGAAAATCAGAAGCCCCCATGTTCCTACCGGGAAATTGGCCTTCCTTTGCATCTGGGCCCTGCTCCTGTAAGATATAGAAAAGAACCGCTGCCTCAGTGAAAAGTAGAAAGGCACTTCAAAAACTTAAGTTTTATATTCCTCAAACATGTAAATGGAAGAAACAAGTGTCGAAGAGATTAACTATTTATTAATCTGCCACATGAATAAAGAAGTTTAAACCCTGAAAACTATAATATGAAGCCAAAAGATTTGTATTTCATCTCAAACCCTTTTTTTTGTGCAAGTCGAGTACATATTAAACATCTCAAAACCTATCAAGATCTCGTTACATAATGGATCAAGCTCACTTCACAAACATACAACCATGAAATAAGCTTTGCGGAAAAAAACAACTTACTCGTCTGGAAGATTGTGACCTAAGATAATCCACACGTATTGGAGCACCACCAACCCGTTTGCCGTTCATATTTCTCAGTGCCTGAGTAGCATCTTCCAGTTCAATATAATCGACATATGCAGTGTTGCGGTCTTTGAGGAATCTAAATTCCTGGATTTTACCAAATCTGAGGAAATCTTTCTCCAAATCTTCTTTGGCAACAGACGGGCTAATTCCAGCCACCCACAAACTCTTGCATGGCTTAGCCTGCAAAAAAAGTTCATTGTGTTCTATAAGTTAAGGACAATAAGATAATACATATAGCAACAGCTTCTAGAAACTTAATCCACAATCACTTCATAAAGGCACAAAGGACAAAAATGACATTTCCCAAAGAGAGATATTATGAATCAGTGCATTTCAGCGAACCAGATACTAAGAGGATACTTTACACGCAGCCAGACATCACATTGTACACCTAACAAAAGAACTACCACATATAATACCATTCGACCACCAAAGCTACATCGATCCACAGAGCAAAAGTCAGTTTGGGGTTACTATGATAAATCTAGCTGAGTAGCTCTGAATTATCATCACAAGCATAACGCTTGAATATTAGATACAAGTATCACAACAATATATAACTATTGTATGTCATAAGTCGGAGGATCAAGTTCGAAATCATGGAGCCTTTAGACAAGAAGTGGAGGTTGAGTGATAATTAACAAAAGAGTTATGCGCAGCAGCAGCAGCAGCAGCAGAGGCTTTTCCTTTCCAATAATTTTTTTACCGCAAATCACAAAACACGTTTATTTCCTACATCTAATTAGTAGTTTGTGCATGTGGAACCTATACGATTGGCAGATTTTACAACGAAAATTCTAATTTCAAGAGCTGCAAGAACTCTTCAGTTTTATGAATCTTTCCTCTGATTTGTTTTGTTGGGAGGACCCTAATAACTGGTCGATCATGCGAATCAACTCTAATTTCAAGAGCTGCAAGAACTCTTCGGTTTTATGAATCTTGCCTCTAATTTGTTTTGTTGGGAGGCCCCTAATAACCGGTCGAATCATGCGTATGAACGCATTCTTTGTATGGCTCGAAACATATCATAATTTTTAAGTTTTTGACCTAATTGCCATAAATTCTTCCAAAGCATTGTCAAGTTTGTGAAGTAAAAAGACTGTCATTGTATCAAATTTTGCTTTACAAGGGATGAGACGACGAAAATCTCTTTGAGGTTTGAATAAGTTGAATTTTGATTCAATAGTTTGACCTTTTGGCAAATTGATGTCTTACAGAAATCATATTAAGTTTATTTGAGACAGAACTATGATTCTTGTAGAAGCACATAAATTTGCAATTCGTATGCCTCATCGTCACCTTTAGCGCCATGCTGGCGAGTCTGTGTTCGAGGTTTTTTCAGTAAGTCTATTTTGATTTATAGTACAAAAATAGACAACGGAATATTGTGCGATGTCCTCCCTCCACTTGTATAAAGTAAAGCAAAACCAAATTCATGCATTGTATGCACGATTGTTGCTTGCAGGTAATTTTGATGTTTGTAATTTAACTTGTGAGAATAATCAAACGCATTATCCGAAGAGCAGGTAATTTTGACCAGCAAACATTTAACAATAAAAAACGTGTTCTGCGAAGAGCTTTCCACTGTGCTGTTAAAAAAAGGAGTACATTTGAACAGTTTCACATCGATTTCAGACCAGGCTTCGCAGAGAAGAGAAAAAATTCCTCGGAAAACATGAGTTTTTAAAGATCATTTTTTAAACAATTGAAACTTAAATTCTAAAATCCGATGTTTGTAATTTATTTGTAAGAATAATCAAAACGCATTCCCGAATGTATGTACATAGACGAATGAACCAAATATCAATTGAAACCCTAATCTGCACAATTATAGATCTGCACAATTATGGATGCTGAAGCTGAAATAAGTAAAATATTTATCAACAAATTCCATTGAGATTCGAAGAAGAATTTACACAAACAGCGGAAAAAACCAAACAATAACAAAAAAAAATCACGAACCGGTTTAGCAAACTCAATTTTGAGAGCATGCCCGCGGAGGATATGCCCCTGGAGGCCCTGTTTGGCAGATTTCGCACCGTCGACTTCTGTGAAATAGACGAACGCGTAGTTACGGGATGGATACGTCGTGACGCTGTCAACTCTGCCGTGCATCTCCAACAGCGCTTTCAGTTCCGCATCACTGACTTCCGCCGCCACGTTTCCGATCCACAGGTTGTTTGACGGTGGGTGTTGCCCCGGCGGATCTGCGGCAAAGCCGTGGCCCTGCGTTGGATTCGAGGCAGATCTGATCGGCGGCGCCATTGAAAATTAATGGAATCGGAATTAGTGCAGCGAAGAGAGGCGGAGGGCGGCGGCGGCGGCGGCGGCGGCGGCGTAGAATTCGATACGGAGAGGGGAGAGAGAGAGAGAGGAAAGGGGGAATCGGAGGGGATTAGGGTTCTTTGGATGCAATTGAATTTGTTTGATATATAAGTGCAACAACGCTCGTCTACTACTGTTGGAGATTTTAGTTTCAGGTCCTCCAATTATGGGGTTATATCAAAAATCTCCCCTACGCTCAATTCTATCCATTAATATCTCGGTAACTTATCATCTTCCACAAATAATATTTAATAAAAAATAAATAAACAAAAAAATAAAGTATATTTTTATGAATAAAAGAAAATGCATTAGAAGAAAATTACAAACGTCTACAATAGAAGATCATTCACAAAAGCACGAAATAATGGCGCTATTAGTATGACTAGGGGTGGAAATTGGAACGAAAATTCCGATTTCCGCCGAATCCGATCCGAAATATTCCGATTTTGGAACGACTTTTTCAATTCCGAATTCCGAAATTCCGATTTCCGAAAATTCCGAAAAAAATCGGATCGGAATCGGAAATACATTACAGAATTTCGGAATTTCCGATTTCCGATCCGAAATTATTCCGATTATTTCCGATTATTTCCGATTTATTCCGATTTTTTCAATTATAATATTAATATATATCTATCCGCCTGTACTAATTAATAGTATATTACTAATATTTTTTTTACAATTATTATATATATATATATTATTATTATTTTTTAATTTTCTAAAACATACAAAAGTCAAAAACTCAACATTTATTAAAATTACTTTGAAACCCTAATTTCCCGACTCTCTCTCTCTCAGCAATCCGACCGTTCTTTCTCCCCCACCACCACCAGCGCCTTCTCCGACGACCACCACCACCACCACTGCCTCTCGGTTCTCCGACGACCACCACCACTAGCGCATCTCGGCTCTCCGACGACCACCACCACCAGCAGCGCCTCCCAATTCTCCGACGACCACCACCACTTGCGCCTCCCGATTCTCCAACCACCACCATCGCAACCAGGCCTCCCGGCTCTCCGACGACCACCAGCAAAGCCCCTCTCTCTATCGGGTATTTTTAGAATAAATCTAATTTAATTAAGAATATTTGTTTGGATTTTATTTTCAATTAAGCTATGTTTGTGAATTGTGAGTCTGTTGTGTGTTTTATGGTGTCTGTTGTGTGTTTTTGTGTGAGATGTTCTGTTTTGCTACTGTGTCGGTGCTCTTTTTTTTTTTTTTTTTTTTTTTTTGTTTTTTTTTTTGGGAAAATTCTGAAAATTTCCGAAAATTTCCGAAAAATTCCGAAAAATTCCGAAAAATTCCGAAATATTTCCGAAAATTTCCGAAATATTTCCGAAAATTTCCGAAAATTCCGAAAATGAATATTTCCGAAAAATTCCGATTTTCCGAAAATTCCGAAAAAATCGGAATCGGAATCACTTTTTGAATTCCGAAAAAATCGGAATCGGAATCGGAAGTCGTTTTGGAGTTCCGAAAAAAATCGGAAATTTTCCGAAACACCCAAATCCGATCCGATCCGTCCGATTTCCACCCCTAAGTATGACAATATTACCCAATGTTTTCAGAACCGAACCGGCAATAGAACCGGACGACCATTTGGGTCATGAGTTTATAGGGTCGAACCGGTTCAATCGGGATTTTGATTTTTTTTAATATACCATTATTTTATTAATTTTAATGTTTTAAAAATATTATTTTCTTTATATTTTTAATCTCCCGCTTATTATTTTCACTTTTATCTACTTCACCTCACATTTTACTATATTTTATTGCTTATACTCTATATTTTTTCATTTTTTATTCTTTAAATCCGCCAGTCGGCCACCCCTATTCAATCACCCTTGATCATATCCGACAATCTTTCGACCACTTATGACTAGATCCGGCCACCCACTACTAAGTCTATGAAGGTTCGCTCAAATCTAGCCACAAATAACCACCTCAGCGTTGATTTAAGACCTTTTGGCCAAAAATCGGGTTCCTTGACTGACTCGTCGGTTCTCGGGATTTACCCGGTCGAACCGGATTTCGGTCATTTGACCCCGGTTTTTGATTTTTTCGTTTTTAGATGTCAGACCGGACCGCTTTATTGCTGGGTCACTGTCGAACCGGTCCGACCGGCCGGTTCGGTCCGGTTCTAACGACATTGATATTACCTCAATTAACATAACAACCCGTTTAGCTAGATTCAGGGTGGGCATTCGGTTCGGGTCAGGGATGGCAATTTGGCCCAATACGATGGATCCCCGCCCCAAAATTTCCGGGTATGGGAATGTGGATGGGTCTACTGGTGGGTATGAGGATGGGGACGAGTTTGTAAGTACCCATCCCGTAGACCCGCCCCGCATATATTATTTATATATATTTATTATTTATTATATTAAAATATAAATCATAAATATTTAAATATACTAACCCTAAACGATTTATCGAATTTTATGATTTGAAATTAAGAGGGAGTTTGGCTAAGCTTATTTTAAACAGCTGATAAGCTCTTACGTCTGATAAGATAATTTTAGAGATTAATTTTTAGAGTGTTTGGATAATGAGCTTATTTCCTATTTTTACTCATTATCAGATCTTAAATAAAAAGGTGGGGGTAGAGGTACTTATTTAAAAAGATATTATTTGGTCTCCAACAGCTTATTTTAAAAAAAATTGAGATATCTTTTTAAAAAATTACCAAACACTTTGGAATAGCTTATAAGCTCTACAACATCTTATAAGCTCCTTTTAACATCTTATAAGCTTAGCCAAACACCCTCTAAGTTTGCATTTTATTGGTATGTTTATTGAACCAAGTCTTTAAATTAGAAATAAATTGTATTTTTATTTAAAAATAATTCGGGGATTTTACGAGGCGGGTATGGGGATGGGGATTTTCAGAGCGGAGCGAGACGGGGATTGGAAACCCCGTCCCATTGACATCCATACTTCGGGTTATTCGTGTTATGTCCATCGAGTGATTTTTAAACATATCGGTTTTCTCAGGTTCGGATACCCAATGTCCACAAATCGAGTTGGAATCAAAATTGATATTCCTTTGAGTACCTGATCGGGTAGCCGACTAATTTAAAAAATTATATATTTATTAATCAAAATATAGGGGCATTTGGGTAGACCCCCTTGTTAGAAAAAAACAGAAAAAAAAAAAAAAGACTAAATACACATCAACATCTTATATATAAAAGAAAGAAACACTAACCAACCTAAGAAATCTTAATGGTATATTGCTATATATTTAAAATTAATTATTATTATTATTATTGTTATAATAATAATAATAATAATAATAATAATAATAATAATAATAATAATAATAATAATAATAATAATAATAATAATAATAATAATAATAATAATAATAATAATAATAATAATAATAATAATAATAATAATAATAATAATGATAATAATAATAATAATAATAATTTATTATTATTAGTATTATTATTTATTTATTTATTTATTCTTTTTTTTTTACATTTCTCATTTTTCTGCCTTTTTTTATTGGGGTCATTACAAATAAAGTCATCAATGGGTACTTATTCATAAAGAGATCCAGACGAAAAACTCATTTACCAATAAGTCCACACATGGTCCAGATTTTTGTAAATGACTAAAATAACCCCTCATACTTTAATATGCTCCAATTTAATCCTTAACTTAATTTAACCTCAATTTGACCCCAAATTTCACAAATTATTCAATTTTGACCCTAAACTTTTTTTTTCAAAAAACATTTTCCCGCTGGATTCCAGCGTTGACTTTTCAGTTTTTTTTTTTTTTTTACTATTTTTTTTCTTCCGGATTTTTTCGCCGGTCTCCGGCGTTGACTTTTTCGATTTTTTTTCTTTTCTTTCTTTCTGTAACTTTTTTTTTCGTTTAAACAGCAATATTGCTGTGATTGACAGTAATATTAACTATATTACTGTTAAACACAGTAAAATTAACTAAACTACAGTTTAACACAGTAATATTGCTATATTAATCTCTAGCACAGTAATATTAACACAACAAAACTCATTATTATTGTGTAATAGAGTAATATTACTAAGTTGACCGTTCAACAAATATAACATAATAAAAAGCCTAAAGAATTAATATTATTGTGAGTGGCAGTAATATTACTATAAGAACAGTAATATTACCGTCAACCACAGTAATATTGCAATAATAGACAGTAATATTATTACGTTACTCTGTGAATAACTCAAACAAACAAAAAAATCCAAACAAAATAATAATATTGATGTGGTTGACAGCAATATTACTATAACAACAGTAATATTACCGTCAACCACAGTAATATTATTGTGTTTACAGTAATATTACAATAATAGACAGTAATATTATTACGTTACTCCGTGAATAACTCAAATAAAACAAAAAACCCAAAAAAATAATAATATTGATGTTGTTGACAGTAATATTATTGTGTTTACAATTATTTTACTATCAACGACAAGAATATAATTACGTTGACTTGTCAACAAATCAAACAAAATAAAAAAATAACAAAAAATAAAAAAATAATAATATTATGTTAATTTACTGTCAACGGCAGAACAATTACATAAATGTATTGTCAACGGCAGTACAATTACGTTAATTAATTGTCATTGACAGTATAATTACGTTAATTTACTGTCAGTGACAGCACAATTACGGTCAACGTTTAGCGGCGGACGTAAAAAAAACACTAAAAATAGTCAACGCCGCGCCGGAAACCGGCGAAAAAATCCGGAAGAAAAGAAAAGAAAAAAAAAGTCAACGCCGGAAACCGGCGAAAAATCCTACCGAAAAAAAAAAGAAAAAAATTGAAAAGTCAACACCGGAATCCGGCGACAAAAAATTTTTTTGAATTTTTTTTTTTTTTTGAAAAAAAAAGTTTAGGATCAAAATTGAATAATTTGTGAAATTTGGTGTCAAATTGAGGTTAAATTAAGTTAAGGATGAAATTGGAGCATATTAAAATATGCTCCAATTTTGAAAA